CTTTTTTTTTTTAATATAAAATAACCAACTCCATTGAGAATTTTTATAACATTACTAATTGTTAGCTAATGTTGTGTCTTTGGACAAATGAATTGTTCAAAGCTGGAATTTATCTTAACGTTAATCAATATCACATTTTCATGTTTTCCAGCAAATCTTTATTAGAAACAAATGTTTTTAAAATCTAGTTTACGGGCCTGATTAATGTTATAATAATTTTATTTAACAAATTTTGGTTGAGGATAAAATTAAAACATTAAAAGTTTAAATCTTAAAAAATAAGAGTTATTTTTAAAATTGAGTTCATATTCTAGAATTCTTTGAATAACTTGTTCCTGATGACTATTCTTTCTACAGTTAAAATATTGATTAAAAATTTCTTGCTTTTTTTATTTTAAAATATATTAATACAGTAGAGCATCGATTATCTGACTCAATTGGGGACTCGGGTTGGTCAGATAACTGAAAAAATCGGATAACCAAAAAGAATGAAAAAAATACATTATTAGTATAGTATATTAGTATATCGCTATTAACCAACTTTGCATTGAATTTTCGTCGATGTTAAGCCTAACAAATTTTTTTAAAAATAATAATCGTCGCTATTCTATTGTTAAAAATTATTTTTAAATTATTTTATTGCTCACAAAACAAACAACCAATCATAATTAGAAAATTAGGTATCGTTTAAATACTGGCCTCCCTTTCATGGTCAAGCCAGTGTTACCAGCTAAAACATGCAAAAATTTAACAAAAATAATATCAAAGTAGCCAAGACATAGCCAAATATTGTAGCGCCACATCACTAGTGGACATTTGAAATCTGCCGACTAGAACAGTCTGTTAACCGATGTGATGTTTAATCGGGGGTCGGATAATCGATGCTCTACTGTACTAGCAGGTAAGCCCAGCTATGCTTGGGCAAAATAAGTACAAACATTAATATTATTATAAAACAGCTTTGTTTCAAAAATTATTGAAACTAATATCTCAAATACTATAGTAGAGATAACAGAGACTTGCATGCAATCCTCATAGTACTGTGCAGTGTGGGTGGAAATAAATCTTGAACAGGTATGTTTTAAATTGTGGATTGTAATTAATGTCACTTTCTCTGCAAATTTGTTATACAATAGATATCTATATATTTTTATGTAGGGCTGATGAGGGTGTTGTGTACCAAGATGCATGCCAGTAATAAAGTTGCATTCTGATGATATAAGTGTCATTTTGATATCACCAGTAGCAGTGTGATAAGTCTGTTATATCTACTATAGTATTTGAGATAGTTTCAATTAAGATTATTAGATTATTTTGTATTCTAACCTTTTTATTATATTTAATATTTGATTTATACAACTACAAATGTTATCTTACATAAGGATTTATCACACCAAGTGACCAATCTAACACATTTTAAAAATTCTTTAAATTGTGTACATTAGAGGAAGAAAATTTTTAAGATGTGTTAGATTGGTCACTCAGTGTGATAAACCATATGTTAGATAATGCTTGTAGTTATAAAAATCAAATACTATTATATAATAAATATTAAAATGAAAACCATATAAAGAGTTTGGTTATTTCACTCTACCATTGTCATGTTTATTGTGATATTTGGATGGTATGAAATGGCTCAATTTTATTCATCAAGTAGACATGAATTAAAAATATGATATTGTATTTTTTCTATTATTATTATAATTATAATTTAATTAAATAATTTTAGACTAAACTGGAAGAAAAGAATCGGCCTGGTATGGGACTCAAACCTGCAACTCTTGCTTAACATGCAGGTGCGCTGCCAGTTACACTACACAGACCTCTAGTCTGATCTTCTCTTCCAGTATATTTAACATTACGATATAACCATTGTTGGTTACTATGGTGCCAACTGGGGACACATTCAGTGTCTTCAACCTGTGAACTCCCATATATGGCATTGCATACCTGGCAAGGCATATAAATATATAAATATAAGCATCCACAACAAAGTGCCTTACATGGGAGTTTACAGGATGAGGACACTGAATGCATTCCCAGTCGGCACCATAGGTGGGTGGATCCAATAGGAAGAAGAGTGTTGTGGAAGGAGGTTGAAGTTAGACCAAAAGTAGTAATTGACCTCATCTCAGAAGAGAGGATGCTCAACAAATACTACTTAATACTGGTCTACTATTAATATTTGAAAAATGTTTATGTTGGATAGGTTGTGATGGCCCCATGCAGGATCAAAGTTGCTAACCTTAACATCTGAAAGACTTCACATAAAACTTGTTTAAATAAAAAAAAAGTCTTGTAAAAATACAAGAATAATTGCTTTTATATGATCCTGTAAAAAATACTGGTGAAACCAGGTTGAGAAAGTAAAGCTCAGCAAAAACATCTAAGTAGGAAAATTTTGAAAGTAGTGGCATAAGCATGCTGGAAGCAGATTTGACAGTAAGACTCAACATGTGAATAAAGTGCACATTACACAAACTACAACTACAGGAAATTTTGAATGAAGCAATGTCACCATGATAATAAATACAAAAAATAAACATTGGCACAGAAAAAGAGTTCCAACTCTACTTCATGCCTTAAAATTGTTACATGTACTGTACATTAATTTGACTGAACATTAGAACATCTAAAAGTAGTATCAGTGAAAGAAGTTTGGGGCAATGGGCTTCAGTTACTAAGGGGAGATGAAATTGGGGGGTAGGATGTTCAGGTTTCTTGGTAGTTAAGCATGTCTGTAAATATCACATTTATAGAAAGTGCTAAAATTGGTTTGGCATTTGGTTATGGCAATGCAACACATGAGCGATCTGCCAAGGAGAATGCATCTTGGAAAGACTTTTATGTAAAGCTGGCTCCAATTTAAGCGTTACTAACGTGAAGAAAACCCAGAAAACTCCACGTGGCCAGTCCATTGGCTATGCGCAAACCTGTGACAGACTACCAGTATTTGGTAGTTTTATCTACTCGGTTACTGGAGGATACTTATTGGGCTACAATTTGAAAAAATTGTACACCTATAAATTGTCACTGTCATCTGTTCATCTCTGTCTTTCCTTAATCTCAAGAACAGAGTTAGATAGATGAAAGTCGAGACAAAATATAGAAAGCTTAGGGGCAGGAGGTCCCAATTAACTATAAACTGAAAGTCACATTATTTAAATTCAAAACTTTGCTCTGAATGGAGTTAGATACATAACTGGCATGATTCTATTGCTAACATGAAAATTATGATGTACAGGGGTAAAACACTACTATACTCCATGCAGGCAAGTGCTATGTGCTACCTGTCACAGTAATGGTGTAATGATGTGTCCATTTCGTGCTATATCATTGTCACAGTAATTCAGAGAATATAATATATATATATATATATATATTGAAATCATGTCCTTTTTGGTAAGAATTATATTTAGTTAAATTTTTTTCAATTTTAAATTTATTTTGTTAAATAGATGACACTACATGTAAAGCCAGTAATCAAATGTAGACAAAAATTAATCGATATATGGAAAACCAATTGATAATTTCGGGTGGAATGTATGATATTATCTAAGTTAGAAGTAATTGAACGTAACTTCCACATTTCATAGCAATTGGTCAAACAGCCTACAAGTGTATAGCAAACAAACAAACATCCTCATTTATATAGATAGATTAGAGGAAAAAATTCATTTACAAATGCTAAAGTCATTAAATAAAATCAAAATCTTACATAATTGTTTATAGCTTTTGATTTATTTAAAATAAATATATTTATTTTATAGCTTTTGATTTATTTAAAATAAATCAAAAGCTATAAAATAAAAATTATCTTTCTATTAGCGTAAAGCATTTTGTGTATTTACTTTTAAAAAACTAATTAATTTAAATCTCTTCTAAAAAATGTGTTTATATATGAAACCATACATACTGAATATATCATCATTTGATATTTTTAAAGTAACTTGAATAAATTTCACTTATTTGAAAGGTATATGGATTTCAGTGAAAATCTTATAAACTTCTCTTGAAATTTTTATTTGTAGAGACCATTGAAACAACTTTCTGCAGAATGATTTATTATTAAAATAAATCTTTGTTTATGTGTTGAATTATTAAACATTTGAGCTCTATAAGATGTTTACTTTGGTCTTGGTTATTACAATTATTCAAGGAAATGAAATTAGAATAGAAATAATAGAAATGAGAAATATAAATATACAGGATTCCAACCTACCTGGAAAGTTGGATTTTCATTAGTGTTTATTATGGAAAGTCAGGAAATTTGTCAAAATGTCAGGGAATTTGTCTCCTTGGCCACCTTGTTGATTTTGTTTACTGACAACATGGCTGACCAAGTATAGATGTCTGAAGGTAGCAAGAAATAATGTTCAATGTAACTTATGAGCATGGTGCAGAATATTTTCAGGATCCGAAATTTCCCAAAAATTACTGCATACACAATAAAACCATAATTTATGAACCAATTAACTATTACTGCATAATTTTGAAAATTCAAATTATATTATACAAACAATTAAATAGGACTCCCATATAATTTGCCATGCAGCACTAACTGATAACATAAAAATATTTTAGATTAAAAGAATGCTTTAATTTAAACATGTCATCATAGGAATTTGATTAATTCATTCTGGAGACCCCCAAAAATAAAATATATATACTTTCTTACTACGTTTATTCATATGTAATAATAAAAATACATATATACACAGTCTTGCATTTTTATTAGTCATGTTTTTTCCATTTGTGGGGGTTAAAGAATCTGTCCAATGTCGATTGCTTTTCTGTNTACTACGTTTATTCATATGTAATAATAAAAATACATATATACACAGTCTTGCATTTTTATTAGTCATGTTTTTTCCATTTGTGGGGGTTAAAGAATCTGTCCAATGTCGATTGCTTTTCTGTCTTCATGATTTTTCAGAATTAATTAATAGCATTGTAATTGTAGAGATTCCTAGGCTTATTAACCTCAACCTGATTTGGATGCCATTTTAAGACTGTTGTTCTGACATCCTCCCACTTCAAAGGATCTTTAATAGCAGATGTCGGCATAAATCTGCATTTTCAGAAGAAAACGTAAAAGAATTGTTTCTGTCAGAAATATAAAAGGCTGGAATTACACGGAAGAGTTTCAAATATGGGGAATACTATCCGATCAGTATATACTGGGTAGAATGTCGATGTCGACGTCTCCCGCGCTCCAAAAAGTTTTGAATTGTTGCCTGAAGACAAAGGAAGATCAATCTGTATTTGTTATTTTATGTTGCTTCTTCTTGTATTTGTTCAGTAAAGTGTTTGTTGTCTGATCATAAAAATCTTTCGCGAAAGTGTTCGTTATTCGATTTATTCGTTAACTGATCACCCACTGTATATTTATTTTATCATCATCATTTAACAGTGAATATGTTTATTTTATTATTTTAACATTGTCTTTTATTACATGTACTGTTTGTTTTACTGCTTGTTTTAATTGTTCTAAGCATTTAATCAGCACGTTTAATCAAACACATGGAATTTTGATCTATAATCAATGATTTGTCACTGGCATTTTACCAAATGTCATGATTTTATTGTACTTTTCGTAAATGCGGTAGTATCAATTTCATAATTATTTATATTACAACAAGCTGATGAGGGACTTAAGGTCCAAAATGCATTCTTTTGGAAAAATAAAGTGATTTTCTAAGGTTGGTCTTGAGTCCAGTGACAGTGTAATATCTAGTGATAAAGAAGGCCAACATAATGCTCACAAATATATACGAAGACTAGACAAGAAACATATCATAATGATAAAAAATTGAAACAATGAAGATGTAATTAAAATGTTCTTTTTTTAACTAAACACCAATCGTATGCTGAAAATCTATCGGTTAACGCATCTGCACGGTAAGCAGGTGTTGTGGGTTCGAGTCCCGCTCCGGGCCGATTTTTTCTCCCAGCGGTTCTAAATTATTTAAATTAATTTATTTATTTATAATTATTAATATTAATAAGAGATGGCGCCTAACGCTTACCTCTAGTGCCAAATTAATTACGTAATTTATTTAGTAATTAGCCTTAAAACTAGCCCGATGGATTTACGGCATATGTTTGGTGATTAGCTATATTACATCGGGTTTAGCGATGTTTATATATATTACGCCTTGCCGGGGCTTGCGATGGCCGGTTGAGTGCCTTATAGGAGTAGGACGTGGGCACTGAATGTGTCCCCAGCCGGCATTGTAATAACCGTCGATGGTTACATAGTTATACGCTGGAAGAGGAGATCGGATCGGAGGTCCGGATAGCGTAACTGGCAACGCATCTGCACGGTAAGCAGGAGTTGTGGGTTCGAGTCCCGCTCCGGGCCGATTTTTTCTCCCAGCGGTTCTAAATTATTTAAATTAATTTATTTATTTATAATTATTAATATTAATAAGAGATGGTGCATAACGCCTACCTCTAGAGCCAAATTGGTTACGTAATTCATTTAGTAATTAGCCTAAAACTAGCCCGATAGATTTTCGGCATACGATTGGTGTTTAGTTATGTTATATATCGGGTTCTTTTTTTATTTTTGTAATTTGTAATTAAGAAATAAGTTAAATAATAATAATGTTATATGTTTGTAAATACTTTCTAAAAAACTTTTATGTAGGATTTTTAATATTTATTCTAAATGAATTACATGATGATTATTTTGAATTTTATATAATGTATTGATTAAAATTTGAATTAAGTAATTGATTACCATTCTAGTTATAAGCCTGTTGATATTCTTCAGCAAACTTATTGATTCCATTATTCTATATTTATCAAAAACAAAATGCTGAAAAGGTTTAGGAGCAAAAGTTTCTTGGAAAAACATCCTCCCTCTTAAAATTGCTATTAAACAGTTTCATAGCAAGCATAAATGGAACAAATAGTTTCATTACAAATAACTAAAATTTGTTTTAAATTTAAACAAAATATTTGATGTATACTAAGTTGTCCCCTAAAAAAGAAAAATTAAAAGATACATAACTAATTTATTTTGAATGTAAACCAAAATATTTGCTGCATGCTGTTCTGTTTATGCTTGTTATGAAACTGTTCAATTTGTTGTATAGTGATCAGAAAGCAGAATATTTGATCTCGCAAACTCCCAAAATTTATTAATTATTAAATCAAAAAGAAAACGTTGAAAAACTAGTACATGTCACTTGTATTTATAAAATATTGAAAATTTTATTCATTTATTAAGAGAGAGTAAATTAGATTAAGTAGATTTTAAATAGTTATAATTAATTACATAAGTAATTTTAGTCATTAATATTATTTTTTTTTCTACAGCCTGGAGAAATAGATAAAAAATATACAGGTCTGTTAGAAAAGAAATGGACTTCAGTAATAAGGTTGCAAAAAAAGGTAACTTATTTAATTTTAAATTTTTAAAATGTAATGTAAGTTGTAGAAATAATTAATATTGGATTAGTTTAAATATCTGAGGATATCTTAAATTCAGAAAAAAATTTGATGGTAAGGTTTGGTTATTTTAAAATTTTTAAACTGTAGTAAGAATATTAAAAATGTATTTAAAATAAAATACTTATACTATAAATTTTTGAGTAATGATATTTAAAAACTATTTTAAAAAATTTTAATTTGTATTCCAACTTTAAGCTCAGGATAAGAAGAAAACTTGCATCTTAAATTCAAAGTACTAGGTATCTCAAAATAATATAAAGCTTTCCAAAATAAAGTTAGTCAGAAAACTACACAAAATATAAGCATAGATTAAGCAATCATAATTCTAAACTACCATCTTTTTGGACTATGTTTATGCTAATTTTTAATTAATTAAAAATTAGTAAGTGTATACTCTGAAAATCTGGAAGGTCTGTTATGATTCAGCAAATTATATTAAAATTTACAAAATTTATTTTATATTAAATTTTTTTCCTTTCAAGTATTAATAATCATGTTGAATATTTATATTAAGAATGCGAAACTAAAAACTACAGTTAAATCTGATGTGTATGTATAAATACCACACTGTGGATGTAGTACTTATTTTATAAAACTATATTGACCTCATTCTCTGACATGAAATGTTTGAATGGAAACAGACTTATTACAGAAAAAGTAAAGTATATACTATATTTTTTATTTTTTGTGGATAATATAGATTATCTGTAAAAAAAAAAAAAAAACTGAAATCAGTTGCAGGTAATGTGATGGGGCAGTTTATTTGCTAATTGTGCAATTTTCAATTTTATTATGAAGTATTTAAACAGCTTTTCATATGTTCAAAGTGACTAAGAAAATTTTTAGAAAAACTTGAAAAATAATTTGCATAGTGAAATATTTTACATTTTTTAAAGTAATGCATTTTCTTTCAATTAAATACCAAAATCTTTGTTAAACAAGATTTCAAGAAATTTATTTGGAGTTTATTTCTGTTTAGTTGATTTCTCAACTTTTTCAGCAGCTGGTTTTTACATGTATTTCTTGTATTAAATTACCATAAACTTTATTATTTAATCTGAACTAAAATTTTTTATTTTAGAAGAGTTTAATAATCATTAAAATTGTAACATTACAAAATTAACAATACAACTGTCTATCAGCATAATGGAAAGGTTTATTTATGCAAGTACTTTTGACAGTATATAACTGTTCTCTTTAGGCAATATCATTCACAGAAAACAAAATGCTACAATTTAGAAAATGGAATACAAATAGTAAAGAACATTTTAAAAATTGTTCCTCATGCACAAATATGGAATGTAATTGAAATACATAAAATTGCAAAATTTTTAACAGCTCATATACTCATGAAATAAAACTAATAAAAATCACCAAACTGATATACAAAAGTAAATTAGCACATAGTAATGCCATTAATGAAGCAATATAAACATTAATGTGTGCCCAGGTTGTTAAAAATTTTGTTGTTTCAGTTATGTTCCCATGTTTGTGCATGAGGAACAATTTTGAGAAATGTTCTTTACCATTTTTATTCTATGTTTTTAATAGTAGCATTGTTTTCTGTGAATTATATTGCCTGAAGAGGATAGTTATGTTGTTAATTTCATAACATTACTTGGCATCTAGTGTTTTACATTTTATAAAATTGTAATAAATCATGTTTTAAACTTTTTTGTATAATGTACATTTTTTTAAATTTTACGATTAAACTTTAACATGAAATAGGTGATGGATCTTGAAGCTAAATTAGCAGATGCAGAGAAAGAATATATTGCGGGTGCCCCAACTCGTGATAAACGTTCTCCAAATGAATGGATTCCTCGTCCACCAGAACGTTACTGTCTTTCAGGTCATCGAGCTCCTGTGACAAGGGTGATATTTCATCCTGTATACAGTGTGATGCTCACATCAAGTGAAGATGCAACTATTAAGGTAATGTTTTTAACAATTTATTATAATTTGATATTGATTTTTTTTGCTTATATATTTTAAAAATATTTTCTTTAGAATATATTATTTAAACAATAAAATATTTAACTAATATTAAATTAAATAGAAGAAATATTTAATAACCAACAATAATGTAAAAGAGAACTATTTTTATAAATCATAATAATTAAAAGATCTTAAGTATTGCAACTTAATATAAATTTTTAAAATGTTTCCTTAAATTTCTCAAATGAAAAAATATTATGAAATTAATCTTTATATAATAATGCAATTTTAAAAGTTTGCAAGTTGCTAATTAAAGAATTTTACTTAGAAAATATGGATTTGATATCTTACATAAACTATAACCAGAAATCATGATAACTGGTAGTCTCTTCTCAAATTTGCCAATTTTTAAAAAAAGGACAAGCAAGAATACACATTCATCCTTTGATATAAGTTATTTCTGTTTTTCATTTAACTTTTAAATTAACAACAGGAACTTAAGTGTTTATAATAAACACTTAAGTTCCTGTTGTTAATTTAAAAGTTAATCTTTAAATAAGTTGACTATGACCTTTTATAGATATTATATATACTTAAGAGTTAGTTTTTTCAATATAGCTGAGTAATTTGGAATAAGTGCTATGGATATTTGAGTTTAATGTCTGTTAATTTATGATGGTAATAGATTTTACTTTTAAGATTTCTTACATGAAAAATACAAATATTTGCATTAATAAAATATAATTGTAATATAAAATGAATTATGAAAACTGTTTTAGGTATGGGATTATGAAACAGGTGATTTTGAGAAGACTTTAAAAGGTCATACTGACTCTGTTCAAGATATTGCATTTGATCATACAGGAAACTGGCTGGGTAAGAAAGTTTAAAGAAATTAGTAATTTAGATGATCATTATACTATATAAGCTTTAATTTATAATTGCAGCTTACTAATAATTTATTAGAGCTTTTATATAATAATAGAAAATATTTGAAAAATTATATCTATTATATATAATTGTTATATTATTTTTGCAGTCTCCTGCTCTGCTGATATGACAATTAAACTGTGGGACTTCAGAGGATATGAATGTATAAGAACTATGAGAGGTAAGATATTTTAATTTGCAACAAAATTAATAAAGTAAGAATATATAAAAATGTATGTTTTGACTTCATTTTACTATAAGATACACTTAACATATTTTATTTAATTTATAATTAATGAAATGAATCAAGTACAAAATTTGACTAATTAATTTTTCTGTTAATTCCAAGCTTTACTATGTGAATTTAATTTTGTTGCTTTGAAAATTGTAAGATGAGTTTATCCTTTGATTTATGCAGTGATCCTAAACATCTTTATTATTGGATTGCAATTTGAAAAAGTTGTAGATCTATAAATTTCTACTGTTGTCCATCCAACCGTCTGTCTTTTCTTGATCTCAAGAATGGAGTTAGGTAGATGAGGGATGAGACCAGATATGGAAACCTTAGTGGCAGGAGGCCCTGATTAACTATATATAAACTTTCAATGCAAACTAGAAGTCACATTATTTCAATTCAAAACTTTTTTCCTAAAAGGAGTTAGATGGATGATTGGCACACCACTTTGCTCGCTGCACTTCAAAAAAACCATTTATTACATCACCTAGTTGAAGAAATCCATCAGCAATTAAATGAAATAAAAAAAATGTTTGGAAAAAAACATTTATATGAAATGAAATTTGTAGTCTTCCCTAGTGAATAATAATTGTTTCAAAATATTTCTCTTTAGAAACAATTCCCTAAGCAAAAATAGAATTAAATTTTTTACACATGCAAACCACAATTTTATATACTTTCATTCCATTTTTATTTTAAATTAAAGAGAGAGAAATAATGAGAATTTAGAGAGCTAATTTAAAATTTATTTTTTGACAAAATTTTGCTTTCATTTCTCATTTTTCTTTCTGAAGTCATTTTTGACATTTTGTATTTTATCAATTATTATTATTAAATTATTTAAAATTCATTTATTAGTTATTAAGTGAAGTCTTGTTTATTTAGGAAAATTCTTGAAATTTCAATTAAACTTTTATTGATGAATACAATTTATTTATAATGTCAATGAGAAGATATTTATGTAGAACAAATTAGTTCAAATCTAAAACTTTTCAAAAATTAAACATAAAACTATTAGGTTGGTTCAAAAGTTCTGGAATTTTCTAGTTTTATAATAAAACAATTATTTCAAAAATAAAAATTAGTTTATTCAAGGAAATAATTGTTATCACATTCAAGCACCTTCCATCGATTGGGCAGGTCACATATTCCTACTGAATAAAATCCAGGCTGTTTTGATTTGACACCAAGAAGTATTGCATGGAACAGAAGAGATGGTAGTCAGATGGTGCATATAGCTGAGCCATATAGGGGGTCAGGAAGATCCTCTCAGCCAAGATCAAGTAGATTCTGCCAGGTCAACCTTGAAATTTGTAGTCTTGCATTCAGATTATGAGGAACCCATATGTTGTTCTTAGACCTTTCCAATGGTAGATAAGTGATGAACTATGGTGGACTGGTCACAACTAAGTGTCTTATTTCTCACTTTGTCAGGAATGGGTTAGCTTCTACCAGGTGCCACAGCTTGTCATCCAGTAGAACAGAAGACTTTCCTGTGTTGCTTATCTTTGACTTCATATTGCCCAGTTTTAAATTTACTAAACCAGTTATAGATTGTAGACTTGGAGACAACATTATTGTCAAACAATTGCATCATATGGTAATAAAATTCAACTGTTTTTATACCAAATTGATAATTGCAAAGCACACTTGTGTAAATTTGGTCACAAGAAAGCATTGGCAAACTTGACTTATTTAAAAAGTTGATATTGTTACACAGAATACTTTATATTTTCAGTTATGATTGTGTACCTCAATACCCTTCATTTACATATGTATACTATGCAAGAAACTTCTAAATGCCATCTGTCAGAGAACAATTTTGAATATTCTAGAGAGATCTAGAAAATTCCAGAAACTTTTACATATTTTTTTGTTGTTGTTTTTTTTTTAATTTGCATATATTATTTTTTGATTTAATTTATAAATTTATTTTCATAAATATATAATTTTAGGTCATGATCATAATGTATCATCTGTTTCATTCATGCCAAGTGGAGATCATATTGTATCATCATCTAGGGACAAAAGTATCAAAATGTGGGAAGTAGCAACTGGGTAATTATTGAAATATTTTGTTGTTTTGCTTCAGTAATAATTTCATCATATATTTTTCACTTTCTATAAAGATAAAAATTTGAACTTTTTAAAAAAATTTATTGTGTAATATAAAAATTTAATATTAATTTTCTTTCTATCATACAAACACTATAAGGTAATTATAGATGTTAAAGTTTTCTCCCTCTGTTGTCCTTTATTATTTTTGAGGAATATTTGCTTCTAAAATAAATTCTTCTACACAGGAAGTATTTCAAAATTTTCTACAATGTTAAACATTTTTGAAATCATTTATATTTCAATTTCTGTATAACAAAAATTTCTTTGAAATGAAATATTCATAAAATAGATTGAAATATTTGATAAACATATATTAATAATACTTTGAAGATGGAGATTAATACATACAAATAATTTAAGTAATATGATAATTATCAAAGGAATACTTTCAGGCTAAAATATAGCTAATTAATCATTAAATAATAATGTAATTTGGCTAAAATTTTGCTGCTGCTTTGTGTCAAATTTAATAATTAGAAATAAATTTAGATTAAATTATTTAAAAGTTTCTGAAGAAATTATCAATGTTGATTGTGTGGCTTTTAATCCACATCTGCACACCATGCATTATCATTATGCTATCTGACCAGCATACTGTTTTTATGTACATATACCACAAACACATCCTACACTGGTGGTAACTTGTATGATATATAAGATTAACCTGCACAGTTATATACATAATCTTATGTATTCTATAGTAAGGAAATGAAGATCAGACAGATATCTTGTTAGAATAACTGACAATGCATTTGAATAGTAAGAAAACAGATTTGAGCAATAAGTATAAAAAGAAATTAATATATACTCTAATGCAGTGGTTCTTAACCTTTTTATACTCGCAGCCCACCAAATATTTCATAATTTTTTTGTGACCCCCATTTTTTTAATAATTTATTTGGTTTCATTGGAGAGAATTACACCACAAATGAAATTTCTTGAACTTCTATGCTTATGAACCCAAATTTGATATAATCACGATCGTATTTTCTAATTTTAATGTTACTTAATTTTATACCTTCAGTTTTAGGACTTGTGATATTTTCTGTTTCATTTTTCACTGTATCATCATCAGAACTTTCACTAGTATTTTCTTCACTATATTTTCTTTTTGAAGGTCCTGATCTGCAATTATTTACATTAAAAAAAATTTCTAATGTTCCTTTCTTTTTTTGCTCATTTTTATGGATTAATTGTAAATAAATAAAACTAAACACACAATATAAGAAAGAAATGCACTATTATTCGATCCACAGTCGATGCTGAAACTAAACTAAAACTAAAACACCCACAACTTGTAAAGATTTTGCATATCTTTTGCAAAAACAAGTTTTCAAAGCCTACTATTTTTCCTAATTATTTTTAAAATTCCAAGCATTAATAGTTTCTTAGAATTAATTTTGAATAAAATCAGTAAATACTTCGCTATAAGTAGCATATTTGCATTTATTTCTTCTGTACTAACAAAGTTGTATATAGGAAGAAATAAATAAATAAATAAAACTAAATACGAAAACTTTATCTTTCTTATTTCATTTTTCAATACGATATTTGGTTATACATTAATTTTCTTTTTATTATATTCTGAAGGAAATTTTGCATAATTTGGCAGCCCCCTGGCAAACTTCTTATGGACCCCCCAGGGAGACGCAGCCCCCCTATTAAGAAACATTGCTCTAATGTATATATTGTGAATTTTAATTACCTTTAAACCTTGTATAGGTGCTGCCTATAGCCAAGGTTATACAGTGGGTGATCGGTTAACGAACATAATCCGTTCCAAGACTTTGTTCGCTATCCGAATTGTTCGTTAACCGATTATCGATTTACCATAGGTTTTAATGGGAATTTAATTAATCCATTCTGGAGACCCCAAAAATAAAAAAAATATATACTTTCTTACTATGTTTATTTATATGTAATAATAAAAATGCATCCATGCACAGTCTTGCATTTTTATTAGTCATGTTTTTCCATTTGAAAGGGTTAAAGAATCTGTCTAATGTCGATTGCTTTTCTCTCTTCTTCAGAATTTTTCATAATTAATAGCATTGCAATTGTAGAAATCCCCAAGCCTCAACCTGGTTTGGATGCCATTCTAAGACCGTTGTTCTGACATCTTCCCATTTCTTCAAAAGATCTTTAATAGCAAATATTGGCATTAATCCTCTTTTTCAGAAGAAAACATATCTCGCCGAGTTTCTTGGTGTTCTTCATTCAAGAGTTCTTGGTGTTCTTCATTCAAGAGTTCTTGGTGTTCTTCTGTCGTCAGATCCGTTTCAGGTTCCATTACGAACTCTTCGATGTTCTTTATTTCTCAGATGTGATTTTTGTTACTCCTTTAGCTGCTTGAGTCTTCTTGATTATACAGTATGTTTCTTAAATAAGATTGAACTGCAGCCTACTGTAGACCTGTTCACGCCATACTGCCCAGCAATATCTTCTGACCACTCTCTACCTTGCTATTATACTCTCATCTTTCGAAAAGAAAAACAGACGCAAAACTTAACGAGTGCCTACTTGACAGTCTCACAAATACATAAAAGAATTGTTTTGTCAGAAAAATAAAAGGCTGGAATTACAAGGGAGAGACTCAAAGTTCGGAGGAATACTATCCGATCGGTATATACCGGCTTGAGCGTCGATGTCGACGTCTCCCACACTCCAAAAAGTTTTGAATTGTTGCCCGAAGACAAGGGAAAACCAATCAGTATTCATTATTTTACGTCGCTGCTTCTTGTGTTTGTTCTGTGGGGTGTTCGTTATCCGATCATGTGTTCGTTGTCCAAACATAAAAATCTTTCGCGAAAGTGTTCGTTGTCCGATCTGTTCGTTAACCGATCACCCACTGTATTTGTAAAATTCATCATGTGTGGCACAAAGACAATTAATATATGAAAAATCTGATTACTGATAAAAATTGTAACTGCAGTATAAAATAAAACTGTAAAATATACTGATAATAATGCAGTGATATGCAAATAATAACAATTTTAAAGTATTTGTGAGAGTTGTGGCAAAAATGACCAACACTCAATTCTAGTACAAAGCACAGTGATATTTTCATAATGTTATTTCTGATGCTGTTCCTTTCCTATTAGTTTTTATTCTGGAGTTGTACCTAATTCCTTGGCTATATGTTGTGGCTTATGTGAGAGCAGCTTATCCATGAGAAAGTCAGCATTCTTTTACAGCTTTCATTTTTATGGCTTATATGCCAGAGCAGCCTATAGTCAAGATTTTAGGGTATATAAAGATTTTGGGAATTGCAACAAGTTTTAGTTATCAAGATATTGACAATTGATTTTGAGTGTTTGATATAAGAATTCTATATATGGAGAATAACAACATATGATCAGTTACAACTTTATAAATACAAAACTTTTTGTTAACATAACATATGGAACAAATCATGTGAAATATAACATTGCATATTGTCTGCTAGTGTTGAGTTTGAATGGCAATCTGTAAAGTGATTTTTTTCTAAAATTCATTAATTTTATTTGCCTCATTTGTTGTACTGATTCTTTCATTATAGCATTTTCTAAATCTTTGAATTGTTTCAAATCAACTGGATCTAAAGATTTTTAACAAACAGATAAAGTGCTTTAAGATCTATGATCACTGTTTTGACAGTTATGGTGTTTGGGTCTTTGTTGTCATTGGATTCTCTCTGTATATTCATGAACACTACTATATCTGGAGCACTACCATTTTGCAAACAGATTTTTGCACAGGAAAATTAAACATAGAAGAAATAATCTGTTTAGTTTGTGTGTGATTATATGCCATTCTGCTGCTGTGTTTTCAGTTACCTTTTTGTATTCTTGGATAGCTTGAGGTGGGATGCTCTCAAATCCTGCTTTTTTTTTTTTTTTTTTTTCTTTTAGCAATTAGCAATGACCGTTCCATCAATCATACCCCAAACATAATCTTTGTATTTCTTGAAAAACATTCCACTTTAATGATGTTGTTTGAGCATTTCAATAAACATTTTATTAATTGTTGTTTACACATCTTTACCTTAGCAATTATTCCTTGCTAAGATAAAGATCATCAGTCAGTGCAACATTATTTGAAAATAATTTTCCATGTCTTAATTTTAATCTGCAATTAGATACATTTATAATTCCAAAATTATGAAAAACTAATAATTAAATTCTCTATTGATCTAATATTAATTTCCATAATTTATAATTTAAGTTTTTAAAGAATATTAAATAAATATTATCTAAACTAAAATTGTTATGCAATAATTACATGGATTAGTTCAGAATTTTCTTACATCATACATGATAAATATTTTATAATTAATCTGATAAATTATATCCAAGATATTTTGAATTGAAACAAGTGATATTATCATTTTTTATAGATATTGTATAAAAACTTTCACTGGTCATAGAGAATGGGTGCGTATGGTAAGAGTGAATCAAGATGGCTCTTTGCTCGCCAGTTGTTCAAATGACCAGGTAAAATGACCATTTATAAAACTAAAATTTCACTTCACTTATTAGAATTTAGATTATGCTAATTTTTATATGTATATATAGACTGTAAGAGTTTGGATAATTAGCACAAAAGAATGCAAATTAGAACTCAGAGAGCATGATCATGTAGTAGAATGTGTTTCTTGGGCTCCAGAATCTGCCATGCAATCAATCAACGATGCTGCTGGAAGTGATGTAAGATTAAGCATAATAGTTGTTTTTTAATATTTAAACAAGAATATTAACTTATTTTTTTCATTCAGAATAAAAGAGGTTCTAGAACAGGACCTTTCTTAATATCTGGATCAAGAGATAAGACCATCAAAATGTGGGACATCAGCACTGGATTGTGTGTGTTTACTTTGGTAAGATATAAAACTAGTCCTTATGGTTAATTTGAAGTATATCAGTAACTGTAATTTAAAAAACTTTTATTTTTAATTTATTATAATAATTAAAACTATGTATTTTATAAACTGTAAACTTTGGCATAAAGATTTTGAAAGAAAACATTAAAAATGAAAAATGATTTATTGTATGTTTTAATTAACTGGTAAAAACAATTTTTTAAGTGGTTAATCTATGTAAATTTTCCACCTAATCAGACATATGGCCATATTAGGTGGAAAATTGTATTCAGTTACTTTTTAACTTAAAAAATAGAAATAATTGTGCAATATTAGATTGGGTGAATATAAAATGAAAATTGAATTCAGTATTTAATTCATGTCTATGTTTTGGCATTAGTAATTATGGTTATTTAAATATAAACACCAATGAAACCCGATGCTTGGCAAGTTGTGGGTGTCTGTTTGCTAAACATCAGGTTTTGGTTGGTGTTTATATTTGTATATCTATGCCTTGCCGGGTATGTGATGGCTGACTGAGTGCCTTGAGTGGATGTTTCTGGCTGAGGGCACGAGTGAGTCCCCAGTTGGCACCGTAATAGCCATCGATGGTTATATCTTTAACTCTGCTGTGGAGTCAGGAGGAATTTCTGGCCAGAGGAGTCGGAGTCTGGAAAAATGTGTCAATTCTGACTCTGGGATTTAAATTTAATTTAGTTTTTTTTTAATTAATTGAAATAAAATTTATTTTATATTTATTAATTTTTTAAAATGTATTTGTATTTTGTTATAAATCATTTATTTTAAATACAAAATGCAACAATTTAATTTATTAAATATGTATCAATAGTTCTCTTTGTAGTATTTGTGTTTAGTAGGTAAATTATTTTGACCAAATTGAATTTGAATATTATTGATTCATTCCTTTCTTATCCCTGCTCAAAATAAGTATTCTATTTTTCTGAATGAGCCAAACTAATTGTTCAAAGTATATATTTTCCTTTTCTGAACAAGAGGCTGAAGTAACTAGATTGCATACTTTTTAGTTGGACTAAACTTTTCTGGAAAGGTGAAATTGAAGTGCAAAAGCTATAGAATAAAGATATGTAGATGTACAATTTTATATATATAAACATCAACTCACAGCCCGAGTAGATAATAACAACACCAAACGATCGCCTAATTATCGGGCTATAATATGGCTATTTTAAATGATTGGAACTAAGTAATTTGACAATTAGAGGTAGGCGTTAGGCGCCATCTCTTAATTAAATTAATAATTAAATAAATAAATTTAGAACATTCTGGAATAAAAGAACTGACCCGGGACGGGGCTTGAACCCGCAACCTCCGCTTGCCGTGCGGTGCGCTTGCCAGTTACGCCACCCGGACCCCGAGCGAGTCTTCGCTTCCAGAAGTATATAGATTTAGATATAACCTTACTTGGTTAAATACATCACCGACTGGGGACGACTCCTTCGCCCACGACCCTAACGGTACTCAGCCGGCT